TACCCTGAACCCCATACCCTTAGTCCTGAAACCCGGAGCCCCTAAACCCTGAACCCTGAACTCTAAATCTTGAAGCCTTGAACTTCAAAGCCTAGACCATTGCAGGCAAGAGGCCGAAGAGGTTGAAAAAGAGTTAGACGGCATCAGCGACACCCAGCAGGCAGGGCCACGCTCCAGGGCATATATATATATATACCAGTAATGGAGAATTAAATAGAAAAGAACATGGGCAATTAAACGGAAACTGGACACTGTGATCATGTAGGGTTAGCATAGGGATTGTATGAGATACTGTCGCTTTTAGGCAGAGCTGCGTGTGAAGGGCTCTTGCAATTATTACCCAAACTAATTTGGAGTTTCTCAAAATTAGGGGTACCATTTTGGGGGTCCTCATAATAAGGATTATAGTATATTGTGATTTATATTGGGGTCCCCCTATTTAGGGAAACTGCCAGTTGTGCATCTGATGGCTAGCATTACTAGCAAATCCAGGGAACCTCAGCGTGGGGTAATGAATCTGTTCCGAAAGCCTGGGTGCTCACCATCGTTTAAGTCCCAGGCACAACACATACATTTCCAGGCCCTGGTGAGCGCAGTTTAGCGCATAGCCTTCCAAGCAGGACTAGACGTTGTACCTACTAAGCCATTCAGCGCCATCATGCTGAGTAACAATATGCCTTGGGTGCTGCCCCCCACAATTGGATAATGTTTGCAATATGATTAGTTATGCATAGCCCTCAGTATGACACTTAAACCCTACCTACTTGCGAAATGCTACAGCAAAAATTCAAGCAAGCTCTAGTTAGGATATAGCATCCCTGCCAAAAATGCCACTCAGATGGCTATTTCTCAAATGCAAGGCTTCCGCTACATATGCCTCCCAATCTAATCTTACAAAGTTGTGTTTCTCCGCTTAACATGAACACGGAGGACACTCCTAAATCTGCTTGCCAGTGAAAGAATGATGTGCAAGCTTTGCGAGAAAACACATTCAAATGAGCAACAGTCAATAGTTCCATATGTAACTAATGGACGTAGATCCTCGTCAGGGAACATATCAGGGACTAAGCAACAATACCAAAGGCACCCCTACATCCACCCTTCTTCATGGTGGTAAGCCTAAAAGTGCCGATGCTCGGAAAGTCTCCCACCTCTTGTGTTTAGTACCACTTGAGTAACTTTTTTTGGTGGTTGAACCCAGTAAGAGTGTATTCCTTATATGAAACATCGGCCACCAACACATTCGTCCTCCGTAAACCCAGTTTCCATTTCATTTACCCTTCTTTGTTTCCATTGGCTTCTCCATCGTTACCCTAAACTAGATATATGCATATTTACACATCTTTATTCCTTTAAACACCCTAAACCCTATATATCCCTTTAGCCCCTTTGAAGGGACCTTCCGTTGAGCCAAGTATTTCCTAAACCCTAAACCCGCAATCCTAAACCCTGAGATTGCTTGTTTGGAGGCTCTGGGCCTTCCTCTTCTTCTAGGTGCCGCGCTTTGCTTGAGGAAAGAATACATATATATATAAATACAAATTCATATCATAGTTTGAGTTATACAGGATGAAATAAGGATAATGGAGTAGAACATGGAAACTACAGATAAGGGTTAAGGGCTTAGGGTTACGAATATCACGGTGACTTCTGATGCCACGGAGTCCACGTTTTGTTGGGGCCCCCAGAATGTGTGTTTAAAGTGTGACGTTCTTAGCCTTACATTACTGCCTTGCCACCTTACCCTATGCCTTCTTCGAATGATGTGTTGGGATGCTCCTGCCCTTGTGACTTCTCCATTGTCTTCACTGAATCAACATTGCATGTTGAGAGATAGAAGAAGCATATCTGCTGACCCAGTGCTTCTCTGGACAGTTTGTGATCTTTATTGGCAGAACTGATCTGAAAAGTCTCAAGCAAATCAGTGGTCTAATCTCTTGCTGATTGATCCTGGTGTTTAGTGTACAGCTGAAGAGTCTCCCAACTTCCTCCCACGCTTCTCCTGACATCTCCATGCTGCGGTAGCGTGGGTTTCAGCTGTGATGCTCGATAGGGCATGGGACCACGAAAGCGAACCCTACCATTACCACCAAGCAACACACCACGAAGCCCAGTCTAAGCCCCACAGAGAGATCGCCTTGCTCCTCTAAAGCACAAGAGCCTGCTTCAGAGTATTCTTAGTCTTGGTGGTGTCGCAGACCACACCATGCTGGGTTCTCCGACCTCCTCATGGGTGGCCGCCCAGCGCGCGCGTGGCTGCGGTGGCTGTTTGGCCATCAGCTTCGTAGCTGTTGTGGCCTTGGCGATCACAATTTGCATTATGCTGCCAGGCTGCAGTGGAAGGAGTGGTCCCAGTCCGTTGTGCTGAGTTTCATGTATTCTTTGAGAAGACGCACGATTAAGGTGACCCTGACTGCAGTTCTCAACCTGCGAACTCCGTCCTTATCTAGACCCCCAACAGTCCAGAATCTTCCAAGTTCTTGCTGCCCTACAAAAATCCACTCAAAGCTGTCGAATCTTTCTTTTGACCTTGAAGCCAAAGCTCCGGATCCTGCACCCAAGATCCTAACATGTAAGCTCCCACCTATACTAGCCGGAAGAAGGTGGAAAGGTCAAACAGTGCTCCAGCCACGCTTCAGCTAGCTTGTGGAACCCGCGCAACTGACAAGAAGCTGCTAAGGGTCAAGACGCTAAAGCTTGCTGAACATCATTTTTTGTTTTAGACGTCGCTAGATGGGCATTTCTCGGAATTAGAGGGATTTTTTGGGGTGGATTCCAATAGTAAGGTTACAGTATTTGGGATTCATATTTCGGCCCGCTAAGTACTGACATCCCCAAATCCTCCAAGATCTGAAGCTCCGAGCCCCTAAACCCTAAACTCGAAACCCTAAACCCTGAAGGGTCTTTGTGGACTCTTCTGGCGGTTCTGGGCCATCCCCGGCGCCCGCGCCGCCGCCTTCACCGCCGCCCTCGCCGGTCCCGGTGCCTGGGTGGCATTCACAGGCAAATGGGGGCACCTTAAAAGGATAATAGGGGTTAATTATATAGGGGCTATATATAGGGTTTGGGGTTTCCCAAAATTAGGGGTACCTTTACAGGATGATATTGTTTATATAGGGGCTATAGGGGGATATATAGGCTTGTATTAGGGTTTAGGGTTTCCCAAAACTAGGGGTACCACTTTGGGGGTCCCAAGAACAAGGACTGAAGGAATTATTTGGCGCTCTACACGGGGGTCCCCGTGTCGATGGAAACTGCGAAATCAGGACATGAGCTACTGTCAGTCTTGTAGTTTGGTGTGGTCCCTAATGTAGTCCCTAACAAGGAACCCATGGCCAATTTTTGCGTAAGAAATACGGGTTAATATGGATTGTAGTTCATATTGAGCGCTTATTCGGGTTGCCCTGAGGTATATGGAGATTCAGGTTTTTATGTAGGTGATTTCTTTTTTGCAAGTTCAAGGTCTACTGCGAAGCCATTAAGTACGGCTCCTGGCTGGGCTCTCTCTTTCGACTAGTTGGAAGGATCGTAGCAGGCGATTAGAGGCGAGAACCCTGAATAGTAGTACGCCGAGCGGGATTGGACCGACAAGGAGAGCAGGTTGAGAGGATGTCCCATCTCGCTTGGAAAATTACAGATCCTAGTGTTGGATTCATGAGCTTTGACATAGAGTCTGAGTTTTGTGTTAGAGTGCCATGATGTTTTGATGTGGATCTGCTGCAAGCCCAGGCATACCTGCCGGAATGCACAGCGCACGCGTCTCGGCCAAATTGCGGCCTCTGCGACCTTGTGCGCTTGGTTCGAGCCGATATTCTTAGGAAGCTTTCCTGTCCTGAGCCCTTCACAGCCCGCTGAACGTGTGCATGCAGGGGTTGACGCAGTTCAATCAGAGATGACATGCAAAGGGCCATGACAATCATGGACCAGACTTCAATTTTTGGACTTAAGATTTTCTTGGGGTGCTCCGGACTAGATCCTTCAACTGCTCAGTCATGTGCTCAAGCCAGCTTTTCATTCCACCCGGTAAGGAGAAGTGCTCTAGCCTTAAGGGCAACTGTTGCCCTACTCCGGAAGGGGTGCTGCTTCAGTGCTGACTCTCGGCTGATGTGAGGTCAGATATTCAAAGTACAATCCACAGAGCTCAACTCCCAGGTCAAGAGTTTTAAGGTTTCATACTAATTTGAAGTTGAAGACACATGGTGTCCACGTAGCGGAGTGTCCAACTAGGAAAGTGTCAAGCTGCTATCCTGTCACGTTTTCAGCTGCGAACTTTACTTCCATAACTGCCCACACCAAGCTTGAAAGATCATGCTGCATGCTGGGTGGAAACCTCAACATATTTCATCAATGCTCATATATCAGGATTCGTAAGTCCTGCCGCAAGGTGTGGGAAAGGACATCAATTGTCAAAGATAGTTTCCAGGTTGATGTCTCTTGGAGATTCCAAAATTTGTGCAAGGGGGATGGGGTGTAGGGGGGGTGGGGGGTATGGCTTATCCATTGCAAGGTGATAAAGAAGTTTGCTATCTAGTGATTGAAGAAAGTGCACTTTGGAGACTTTGGTAGCTTCACTTATGTAAGAACGGCATATGATAGGTTCCGAGTTGAGAGTCCCAGAGTTTCAAACGAGAGATGCAGCCTTCACGAGCTTGAGCCGTCTGAGTTTTGCATTTCGAAATTCTGAGAGGTCACAAAGTTCAACGTTCGAAACGTTGAGATTCCCAAACTTAAAAACTCAGGACCTATGGAGTTTCACACTTTGGGGGCCTGTCTGCCTTTAATCTTTGAAGCTTGAACCTTTTGCAGATTACGCCCGCTCAACGTGTCAGATCGCTGAGTCGGAAAGCATCCCATGGCAACCCTCTTCAGATTTTCCAGATATCCCCGACTACTAAAACAACCCAAGCCATATGCATTGGCAGCACTAGAAAGTGTGTTTGGGAAGTTTGGCACTTAAAGAACCCCGCCAAATACTTCCGTGCTGCTGCTGTGCAGACAAGGTACGCAGATTCCTTCCAACGCTACAATCACGCCATTTCATAGTATGCCGCATGTCTGCAACGCTGCCATGCAAACACCGACCACCACTCAGGATCTGAGGGGATGTCAGCGCAGCCGCATCTTCTATGGCTTGTAAGCCTTCACTGTTTTTGTCCGGGGGTCATGTTATGTCTTGTCGTTCATGGTCTCCAGTGTCAATGCCAACCAAGGTGTTACGCGCCAACACCTGCAAAGAACATCACGCATTTCTATACGGACGACTACATGGGTGAATGGGCCCAGCCATTCTGGGGAAATCCTGGGCGACAGGACTTGGATGTCATACGTTCTCTGAGGCTCGCCTCAGTCAGTTTCGTAGAGTCGTGGAAGAGTCAAAGGGTTCGGGCCTGTTCCAACTCTACGGCATTTCCCTGTTTCGGCTTGGGGTTTAGCATTGATGTTCGGTGCAGGCTTAGGATTGACAGCAAAAAAAGCTCAGGAATGTGGACGCTCTGCGGCTGTACGGGAACGATCCCCGCCTGAACCACGTGCCGTTTCTGAACCGGGCTTATGAGCTAGGCCTCGGTGTAGTCGTCGCTCCTCGGCTGTATTTTAAATGTTGGATGCCCAATTTGGAGGGTTTAGGGTGTGCTGTGTAGGGTCTAGGATTTTAAGGTTCAGGGCTTTTCCAAGGACCATGGGTTCCCTTCTTTCTGGGGGTAACTATAATGAGGATCTAGGATTCTGTTTTTGGGCTCTCCATTTCTCAGCAACCACATATCGTTTCCAATGCTATTACTAATACTCGCTAGTAACGGCTAGTATTCAGACAATTATCAATGCTACTATGACTTCTCCATTCTCATATCAAACACTTCCCCATTTCCTAACATTAACATTCCCTACGAGATGCCGGATATAGTGCGTGACATGTTTGAAATGAGGGATGTGGGAGTGTTTAATATTAGTATGAAGGGGTAGTATGGTTGACGCAGCCTTGATGCCAGCAGAAGTCGGAGCAGACAAGCGTTCTGATCCGGTACCTTGGTGTATCAGGATTTTAACAAGGGTTTTATCGAAACTAGTACAGGGATAGTAGGGGCTATTGCAGGGAACTGTATCGAAAATTTCTGGAGGGGTTATAGGGTAGGGACCAATGCCCTGATTTCCTACAGAGAAACAGGTAGAAGTGTGGCTAGACATTTCCTGACGACGGGACAACATGGGGAGGCTCTGTCATGTGACACTCCCTATAATCCCTTATATAATTCCAGTTTCCATTTCATTTTCCATTTTCTTTTCCATTGGATTCAGCCACTACGGCTCAAATAG